CTGGGTCTATGAGTCTTTCTGTTCCATGACTCTGGGACGGACAGCTTGCTGGTAATGTATCAGAGACTACTGTTACATCAAGGTAATTTCCCACATGACATCTCTACAGGGCAATGTCATCAAGAACAACAGCAAGTGAATTCCAAGGAGGAAGCCACACTTGAGAAAATCTGAAGCTCTTTTTTGTTTTGTTTTCTTTTGGCTTTTTTGGGTTGTTTTTAATTTTTTTTTATTGACGTGTAGTCGGTTTACAATGTTGTGTCGATTTCTGGTGTACAACATAATGTTTCAGTCATATATATACATACATATATTCCTTTTCATATTCTTTTTCAGTATAGGTTACTACAAGATATTGAATATATAGTTCCTTGTGCTATACAGTAGAAACTGGTTATCTATTTCGTATATAGTTGTTAGTATCTGGCAAAACTTTAACGTTTTCTTTTTCACTCACCTTGCATCAGCCAGAGTTGCTCGTGCCACAGCCCAGGCTGTAACAAATGCCACTGGGAACCCTGCAATCAAAAAAGGATTCAGAAACCGTATTTCTTTCAAGACCAAGGGATTTTTTTCCTTATATTCATCATACATAAAAATATACCATTAAAAGTGAGAGAGAAAAACAGACATGACAATGTTAACATGTGAACCAGAAAAGTCCACTTAATTTTCATCTTGTCCCTTTGAGAAATGAACCGGTACGCTGATGTTATTTGTTCCCAAAAGCCTGAAGATGAAGATTGGCCCTGTTTTCATTCGAGGGATGCAGGAGTCAAGCTATATTTGGAGCAGACTGAAATTCCTGGGGTCAAAAGCAGGCAGAGGTTGGTGCATCCAACTTTTAATCTTGCCACGCTGACAGCCACATGCTTTCAAGGAGGAGGAAGTCTGCTGTTTTAAAAACATTCAAACTTTCTCATCCTAAAAGTGGAAGGCACAGAGAGGCTAAACTGAAAGTCACAAAATTAGAAAGTTCTGATCAGTTTAGCCTCTTCTTTTCTGGTTCATACTGGCTCAAGACAGAAGCATTTACAAGCATTAATCGCCTAGCAAAGGGTGGCGCTATGTTAGTTTGATGATTTGAGCATGACATATTTGTCCTTCATAAATAATAAACACTGGTGAGCTTGCAATGTCAAATCTATTATACTGACTTTCCACAAGTCCTTTGCCCCCAGTAAAAGGCGACTGTTCAGTTCATGCTAAACCTGATTAGACTCTGACATCACAAAAAAGTCACAAACCATAACTTTTATGGGACACTGCAATAGAAGACCATAGGATTTAATGGATAACTTTTCATTATGTGGCTTTTTGAAAGAGGTTTAAAAAAAGGAAACAGAAACCATAATGAAAACACTATAGAAGCTAGGACGCACCTTACAAAGGGAGAAAAAAATTTTTAACTAATTTAGAACATTTTTTATTAAATACAATATTCTTTACCTTTTAAAAAACACATTTGTAATTTTTCACATACCTTTTCTTAGCAAAAAAAAAGTAGATAGCATAAAAATAGATTTTGATGAAGAAAATTTTCAGAAAGAAATTAAAATAAGGTGATATCCCACAAAAAATAATTTCTTTGGTCTCTTCAGTGATCTAATTGAATTTAGCCTCAGCCTGTCTGTGTAGCGGTTTAATTTTATGATTCCATATTCCAATCTTATTTATTGTTGTATATAACTTCTTTTTTTTTTCAATCTGCTCAAATTCTATGTTCTAGGAAATTTTTGCCAAAACAGATCTACCAATTCTGGTCAGTTCTTAGGCTGAGTTTGCATATTCTATCTATGTATCTAAACTATCCATCCATCCACCCATCCATCCATATAAACCTATTAAGCACTTATCAAATGCCTATTCATGTATCAAGAACTGTTACTGCCTCCAAAGATTAAAAAAATTAACAGATAACGAGTTTTCCTGAAACTTATATCTGGCAGGGGAGGCAAAGTTAATAACAACTTCACTTACCAATTAGTGCTATGGAGAAAAAACAAAACATACTATGAAATGGGGAGAGCATGGCTCTTTCTGACAGAATGAGTCAAAAAGGTCTGACATAAATCTCCTTGCTATTCTGTTGGTTTGGTTATCTTTAAAAAGTGTTTGTCTGCCTTTGATCAAAATGTCCACATTTCCTCAT